GGAGGTTAAAGAGGCCGCTCCCTGCCAAAACAGTTGTTCCTACTTGCATGTTTTCTGGTACTTCACCCAACAGAGTACAAAATGTCTCGGATGACTTGCATTATTGTGCTTCTTTGCATGCCTCTCTCCCTCTCTCCCTCTCTCCCTCTCTCTCTCATTAATGGACTGTTTTAAGAGGCGCACATCCTATGTATCTCCCACTGAGGAACTAGGGGAAAACATGGCATGCAGTGATAATATAAGAACCTGGAGGATGCTTTCCTATGCAAAGCAGCTTTTGAGTAGGGGGAGGTAGATTTCAGGGTGTTGGATAGCAAGATGCACTTAACACCACCACACACACACCGGTGCATTTCACCTGTGGCAAAGCAGTGGCAGGCAGAGGGAAAGCAAAGCACAGATCATCTTTTCTGCCACCAGCCCCTCTGCCTGTACCATGTGGGCTGTGGATCCTAAGCTTCACCCGAAGGAGGAGAGCCAGGCCTGCCTAGTGGTCAGGGGGCAGGAGGGGCTCTCGGGAGATCTGGCCATGAGGCTTACTGGGTGACTTTGCTCGTTCGCTGCTTCTCAGCTTCTGCTGCCTGATGGAGTTGCTGTGATGATAGCAGGATAATCTGGTACTGCCTTGGGTTCTTTGAATGGTGTATAGAAAATCAATTGATTTATCCGCCATGTCAAAAACCACTGTTACTTGAGATCAATCAATCAGTCAAGCTCTCCTACACGTGGGAAAGATAAACAGTTTAAGCAGGGCATGGCATCTTTAAAATGTGGACCAGGCAAACCCAACAGCTAAGTGGAGCATGGATGTGGGCCATCCTGGGCTTTATTTATTTATTTAGAAAGCTTCTATGCCGCCCCATTCGCCAAAGCCTCGGGGCGGCTCACAACAATAAATCGGAGGTCCAGATTGGCTAGAAAGCATCGAGGGGAAGCAGTGAGTGTGTATTCTGGGGACATAACGGAGAGCGTTATGACACCTCGAAGAGATACTAGGTAGATACTTTCAAGGACACATTTTACCAGTCAGTGCATGTTATTTTATGCACACACAACACACATACAACACACACACACAGACATGTATATAGGGGGCTTAAACAGATCTGGGGAATATTTAATACACTCCTCTCCAGCAAGCTGTGACTCAGGAAGTGTGAATCAACAAACAGCAAGCTTAGCAAGGTGCTCCAAATTCTTTCTTTCTGGCCCACAAGCTTTTTTCTCCCTGCTTTTTGTATGGAAATGCACACATATTTTTGTTCATATGTTCCATGCTGTCCACATTTCTGCCATGTACTCATTTTTCTCCCATTCATTGGAACGTGTTGAAGGGCATGTTTTAAAAGCATACATTTTTCATGCTTATGTTTCAAATATACATATTTTAAATATGCATGCATGCATATGTGTATGTGTTTCTGTGATTGTTCTTTGTATTGCATTGCAAGCTCAGACAACTACAGGCGTTGACTACAGATTGCATTTCAGTCTGGGAGACGTGAACTGGGTACTTTCTGGTCAAAAATGAACAGAAATAAATTTTGCAATCATGTTAAAGTTTGAAAGTATATCAAGCAAGCACAGTGACCATTCCCAAAGAACTGGAAAGTTAGTTAATATCTGTGGTGGGATAAAACCTCTCTATTGAACCATTATAAGATAAAACTTCACAGCCTCTCCGATGAAACTGAACCTGTCCTGTCCTATCCTGTGCTTTTCTTTGCTTTCTATAAAGTCCCCTTCTTTCCTATGGTATGAACAGGAAGCATTAGGATATAGCCCCAGAGAAGTGGCACCAAACCAGTCAGCTGAGAGGGAGAACATGGGGGTGGGCAATTCCATTTCGCTTCTATTAAATGCTAGAGTTGCCCTGGGTGATTCAGTTTGAATAATACCATGAGTGAAATTGCTGATCCATCTCTTACTCAGCTTGAACTAAGAAGCAACGTGGCCGTGTGCCTTCTTGTTGCTGATGATAGATGATACTGGGAGACAATAGCACCGCTTTTTTCCCTGGACCAACCACACAAAAGAAGCCAGAGAAGAAAATGCAATGAAACCACACTGCTAAAGCTACAGAAACTCAACTTCTGGTTAAGGGGATCTCTCAGATTAAAGGTGTGCAGAATAAGCCACTGCTGCTTCCAGAGCAGGAAAACATTCTCTGGCAATTGCAGGTGGGGTGTCCAATTTTCTAGCCTTCAGCATAGATTAATGTTAAGGAAAGTCTGGACACACACTTTGTGCCTCTTTCCTCTAGATAAAGCGGATAGAGAGACATCTCTCTCTTTTTCTTACCGTGTGTGTGTGTGTGTGTGTGTGTGTGTGTGTGTGTGTGATGGTAAAGCCCAGAGTCATCCCATCAAGTGGACTGGTGGGAGATTCAGGACAGATAAAAGGGAGTCCGTCTTCACACTGTCCATAGCGGAACTATGGAATCCACTTCCACAACATGGAGTGATGGCCACCAATTTGGACCAATTCCCCTGCGCAGCTGTTGCTGGAGAGCAGAGCTTGGAGGGTGCTGCTGCACTCATGTCTACACATGGGCTCCTGTGGGCAGCTGGCTGTCCCTGTGTGCAGAACTTCAGAGCCTCTGGCATTCAGAAGCACGGTCTGTGCAAGGAGGGAAGGAGAGGCAGGAGCGGGGAAGGACTTGCTGTATCTGGACCACTGCAGCCAACTACTTTCCTCGCAGGCCCCATTTCCCCTTTCCATGATGTATTTCCACTTATGAAGCCATCATGGTTCTTCCTGCACCACGTGTAAGACAGGTGGGCAGAGGTGCGACCAACCAAGTCCAAGTACCAAGGTCAGATGAACTTGGTGCTGGGACTCCAAAAACTCTTCTGGCCTCAAAGTGCTGGGATGCTGTAGAATTGCACCCTTGATGCTCATGTTTAACTGTTCCACATACTTCATTGAATGTTACATTTTGTTTAAATATTTTTGTTGTTGAGCTTGTAGAACTTTGGCATTTTAATGGCATAGAAATATGAAGAATAAATACATAATATTGTAAGTGCCTGTCTGGTATTGTACCTTGCGTGGGTTCTTGTGAGCTGCCCTGTGAAGTTAGATATTCTAAGAGGATATATTAAAATTTATAATTAAAATCACCATCATTCTAGATTCCATTAGTTCTTTGCACCAGGGTAAAGCACAAATCCCCAAATTGGCTGATCAGAAATGTTGTTTGAATGAATAATTCAGTTAGTAATGTAAAAAATTTCCTGCCACTTGATGAATTCTTGGCTACTTGTTTAGATGACTTTAACAAAAATATTGATTCTGGGATGGGCAGAAGATAGATCTCCAGATGGTTTGGACCTCAGCTACTAGAAGCTGCTGCATGTCATTAGAGCTGACATGTCAAACATGTCATTTTTCTCATATCTGATCTGATGGTCCTTCTGGCCTACTTCTGCAGGTCTCTGCTAGGTTTCTTCAGCTTCATGGCTATAATCCAGTCACAGTCCAGAAATAATTTCAGCAATCCAGAAGAATCAGATTCTGCGTTTATTCTATATCTAAGGAAGGGAGATTAATATCATATGGATAGCGACATCTGGTTTTTTTATTTTTTTTAAACCTCAAAACAGTTTCATTCTTTTTGTCAACATCCCCTTCTGGGTGGTACCACTTTGAATTATCCACCCCATTTGTGGGCATAGAAACGGCGGAGACAATTTTGCTGAATCTCTCCAGAAGCAAGAGGCATTTTCATGAGTTTCTTGAAAGTGCGAATCACAATTGGTACAGCTTCATTCTTTCATTTTTTCGTTCCTTTCTTTCTTTTTCTTTGCTGTGTGGAACTCTGTCCTCAAAGTTTCTATCCTCATAAAAGAAACTTCAATTGTTAGGCTTCATTCTTAGGGTACAGAAATAAATTCATTTTGAGTGTATCTGGTTGGTGCTTCTGCGGTTGCCTCATCTCTGCTAGTTGGTCAAACCAATATATGAGTATTTTCTTTCTATGAGTCATCTTGCCATTACTCTACAAATTTCCTTCATTATCTGCAAAAGCCCCTGGACGGTGTTATTGTCTTTTTCTTGGGCTTTAACTATATGTAAAAGGTAACTGTGGGTATGTGTGATGCTGGAAAATACATTCCATTTGAACTTGGTGGACATGGGACATATTGTTGGCTAAAACCAGGAGGAGGTTGGGTGGACAGTTTCCATGAAGTTGCTCAAAATATTTGCACAAATTTGAAGCAAATTATGGTGTATCAAATTGCACAAAATGGGAACCAACCTGTTAGAATCATATTGCTCTTTTTGTTGTTTCCATTATAGCAAAAGAGCACAAAGATGTGGAACAGAGGCTCAGATTTTGCACAAGTTCCTCCAGTTCTTTTAAAAACTGAAAACGGGGTCTTGTTTCAAATCCAGGAATCTGCATGCTCGCTTAATTCAGGATAGTTCAAATCAGTAACACTGCAGGGTTGACAGAAAAGAAGCTGCAGGTTCTGGTCAAGAAAATCTGCTGGATTTCCAGTCCTTTATCAGATTCTTCACACATCCCGAAATTACAGGAGGCCGGAGAGACTATTGTGCAATGAGAGATCTTGCACATGCTTCTTGGCGACATCCTATGTATTCTGAAACCATACCTATGAGAATGTCTCTGAAATGTTCTTCTCCTTCACATTTCTTTTCCAAGGCAGCTCCTTTTCTATCAAATCAAATGAGTACTGCTAAAAAAGTGAAAGAAATTTGTGGCATGACTCTAGCTCCATTAACAAACCAAAATTGTATACTGCTCACGTCATACAGAGGAAATACAGCCAGATAACTGTCCCTTCCAGCTAATCTCATCTTCCAATACTCTTTTTGTTTCTTTCCTTGCCACTTAGATAGGGAAGAGCATCATGGCCAAGATAAATAAGCATCAGGTCTGGATGACTTTTGGGAGCAGCTGCATCTTCTGCATTTTGGAAGTTGAGGATGACACATGAGTTTATGTTAGTGAATAAAGCCCCGAAGTGAGATGAGGATGGCATTATTGTCAGGGATCGTATACACACCCCTTCAATATGCACTTCATGTGAAGGCTGTTGGGTCTGAACTTGCTGTTCACGCTGCCCCCTCTGAAGAGGTCGACTTCTTACAGGGTCATCTGATCTTGCAGCTGCTGTCTCTGCCAGCATGCAGGCAGTGAGAACTGCGACAGAGGGGTGATTTCAGTGTTTGAGGCACCCTGTAAGGCCATGTCCTCTGACCTGCAAGGTCCTGCAGTAGAAGATGATGGATCTCTGGATGAAACGTCTTCCTCTTTGCAGTCCTCCTCTGAGCCAGGGGCAGGAGAGAAGATCAAAGCCAGGGAGGGGTCCAGAATTAAGTCCATGAAATTCCTAGTTCAAGCTGCAAGGAATCAGATAGCAATGTAGCCTTCAACGGAAGCCAAGTCTTCATACCAGTGAAACTGACAGGTACTTCTCTGTGGTTTACTTGGGGTGGACGTGCAAAATAATGAAACAGTCAAAAATGGTCCCATATGGTATCATTCCTAGAACAAAGAGATCCATGCCAGCTCTCACTAAGAAGATGTGGTTATTTGTGCTTTCAGAAAGTTCTTGTCTTGACATAGTTCTTGCCTCTTGTTCATAAGCTCAAGCCAGACCAAACTTTGCTGGATGTCAAACAGAGCAAAATGAAAAATTACCTTAGTGCTTAAAGTGTTGGGCTGAGCTAGTACTTGTGTGACCTGGCTTTTCCAGTTGGCTTTCAGCCAGTCAGTGATTCTCAACGCAACCTACCTCACAGGGTTGTTTTAAGGATAAAATGGGGACCACATAAGCCAGCTAGAGTTCCTTGAGAATGGAAAATGTGGGAGATAAAATAGCAACAACAACAAGAACAAAGCTGTCCTCTCAGGTCAATCACTTCATCAGTGCAAATCTGAGTTGTAAAGTCCAGCTTTGCAAAATGCTTGTCCTGAATGTTATGTTTAGTGTTAAGGTTTACATTATAGTTAAATGATCAAAGCAGCAATATCTGGCTCTTTTGGGTATGAAAGATTTCCTGTATTTGCAATCCAATATTTAGAAGTGGGCCTAGTTGGGAGCTTCATTTTTGTTTGTTTGTTTTTTCAATCTTGCATTTTTAAGACAGACCCACATTTGCCCACCCTTTTTATCCCTAGGGGGAAGTGTGCATTGAAGCACCCCAAAACTATGTGATTCTAGCCTTATTCATGCCAAATTGGCTGTGGTGCTTAAAATCCTACTTTCAGTCAATGACAATCCTTGCAGAATGGGATTTGCACAAACTGTGCGATTTTACACAAAACACAGGAGAGCTGCATGGCTTTCATGTGCTCATTTGTGCAAATTTTATTAATGTGATCCACAAACTGCAATCTGTTCCAGGCCGAATTCCACAAGTTTGGACAACTTGCCCCACAGAGAATCCGAGCCAGGAGAGAATTAAAAAGCAAAAAACCCTAAGATTTTCACCCAGCCCTCTACTGAATTTCTCACATATGTATTCACTCTTAGTCAGCAAGAGTTGTATTGTACTTGGCAATACCTTCCTCCGTTGTTTTAAACTAATATTAATTGGGCAGGATTTACACAAGCTGTAAGAGAATGTGGATTTGGGAAAAGCTCGACCCTAATTTTTGCCTTGGATGTAGGAAAGACCAGTATTGCTGCCTTTTCTCACTTATGAAAGCTCTCTGCCCTTGTCAAATATCACAGATGGTGTTTTAAAACAAACAAATAAACATTAATTAAATCAAAGAGCCTTGCTGTTTGGTGGGTAATGTAGGGCACGCAGGAGGTGAAGCAGTTGTGACAATGAGTTAAGGACTTATCTTGCCTTGTCTTCAAGTACTCTCATTTACATTCAGTTTACAGGAAATGTCACATTATCTGATACTATTCAGAAAATAGTCTCCTACCTGGATTTCGTAGTTTGAGAAACAGTCAACCAGGTACATGCTTAGGGTCTATTCTATTTCTAATCTATTTATGCTAGCTTTTAGGGGTTTTGCAGCAGGGGGGTGGGATAAGAACAGGATCTTACATCATTCTTTCTTTGCTGAATCCGCAGGAAAACATTCTGATGACTGCAAATGTTTGTAGTAAAAACAAAGAACAGCACTTTTGTCTTTTGCTTAATGACTCACCCTTAGCATTTCCTTAAATCTAAAAAAATGACCTGAGATTTTTGTTTTAATTACATTTTCCCCAGCCTCTGTTGAACAGAAGAGATGGAGTTGAAAGATTTTGTTTGAATTCTGACAAAGCGATATGTGTATTTCGCTTTTAAAAGGATTGCTGACAGCATGAAAAGTGCCCATGTCATTAAAAGTGACACTCTGTGTCCATGACACCTTGATGGTGCAACTAGGATTAATTGATTCCAGTCAGTTCCCACAAGGAAGTCCCAGCTCTTTCTGTCCTTTGTTTATTCAGCTTATTCGGCATATCAAGAAGTCCCCGTGGAACAGCCCCTGCACCCTGAAGGTCAAGGGATGCAATAGGAAAAGAAGCCCCCAGAGTGTGGTACAGAACGGCAATCTGCAAAGCAGAGGACTTACCTCCCAAGGAAAGAGGTAAATGAGAACACCAATTTGCATGAAATATGCACATGCTGATTTGTATAAATAGATACAAATGAAGAGATCCTTGTTAGGCTTTCAAAAGATAAATATATAGGATACTATCCTCCACCCTTCACACCACATTGATACAAAATAGCATTAGTCATAGTTGGGGTCACTTTTAACCCCAGGCCAATGTGTCTGCAGCAAGGAGAATGCTTCCTATGAAAATCCTTTGTTATGACTGAAAAATTCCTCCAGGGGGTTTCAATCCACATAAGAATGGCTTTCTGCTCTCAGCAAGTACAGGTAATTTAAGGTTTAATCCTTACTGAGCCTATTCAAAACAATAACTCTGCATAACAAGGCTTGGCCTTATGGCCTCTTCTTTGGATAACAATAGTAAAGCCTTCCAATTTTTTTAATAGCATAACAAAGGTTTCCCTCAGTGGAGTTTATGTTTGCTGAAGGTTTTAGCTAAGAAACTTAATTTTAAAAAGAGACCAAGATGTCCTGTATTGCACCTTCTCTAGTACCCTTGCTTGGGGCTTATTTTTTGGCATATAAAAGTACCCTAATAAATCTATTCCTATGGAGATCCTGGAGCACTTTAGAGTCTTAGCCATTTTCTGGTTTTTAGGGGAAAAAAACCATGAAAGTCAGGAGGCTAAAATTAGGGGAAGCTGAAGTAAAAGAAGATATATGGCCATGCTGAAGTGGTGAGGAAAAGCAAAATAAAAATTAACTCACTGGTTATATGAAATAGTGCTGTGCAGATCATTATCAATAATAAATATAATAAGACATACTATCGCATTTTCCGCTATCCTGTATTTGCATTTTTGGATTTGCAGCTATTTTGCTACTATTTTGTTTAACCTAAAATGCTATTCTGTAAGATCAGAGAGATGGTTGGAGTTGCTTATCACTATTGTTATTTCAGTGTAGCTGCAACTTTGATGGTGATGCTGTCTTATGCAAATTTATGATGGCATCCCACCCTCCCAGTTCCTTGAGGGACCAAGTGTTTATTATCGCAACAGTGTGCCAGGGCATATTTGTGAATCATAAATACAAGCAATTATCCAGAAGATACTCCATTTACTTTTCACACAAAATTCTCTCTGACAGCCAATTCCCTTGACTCATCTTTACAAATATGGCAAATAGCAGCAAGTTACATAAGCCTTTCTCATAGGATCAGAATTGCCTGCCCTAATGTGCATCCCGGAATAGATAAATTCCGTTTGAAAGACTCACAGTGCGGTCCTCATACAACCATCTCCCTCAGGGCCAGATTAATACATCACCGAAAAATGCTCAGACCAGCTAGATCTGCAATGCCCTGTTTTTCCTGTATGTGGGACCATCTGTGTCTATCCAACTCTCTTTGCTTGATAATTCCTTGCGCCTCCTCGTATTTCCTGTGTGCAATGCATGGAGAAGCAACATTTTTTTCCAGTAGTTTAAAACATGGTACGTAAACTCAGGGTATATGGATCTTGTTAAATCCCATCAATGTCTTGCAGATCGCCAAGTATCTTTCATTCCTTTGTTGAAAGAATCAGCCTTTTATTTTCTTTACAGGGGTGCAAATGGAATAAAATGGATTTTTATTCCATTTGCACTCATATGCATGAGTGCCAAGGCACCATTGCACTCATTTGCCTTTGCACTAATGAACATTTGCAATTTCATGCATTAGCACAAGTGTGCATTAGTGCTAATGTGAATTTGCAGAAATCCCCAGCAATAGTAAATCATCATCCTCATGATCCACATAGGCACACAATTCACATAATTTAAAATAAGCAGATCTGTGGTATGATCTGCTGGTTAGATTCATAGAAATCCAGACTCATTTGAATCCGGCCTGTATATTTCTCTAAAACCCCTAACCCAAAACATGTGTGGGAAGTGGAATGCCCTTTGGGTGATTTCTACTGCATAGTAGGTTTGGGTACATGAAAACTCTTGCATATTGCCATTCAGACTGAAAAAGATCAGTTTGGGAATATATGAATTTGTGAATGGGATGGAGCAGGCAAATTGAGGCTCCCCACTGTGAACATGGAGAACCTCAATCGTCTCGGGCCTCCGTATTCAACCATTCCTGGGCAAGAAGGAACACTGAGGATTTGGCACAGCCCTGAAAGGCATCAGGTCAAGCTGCCTTTCCTGGAATGATTGAAGCTGCCAGGCAAAAAGTCAAGAATATCTATTAAATTATCACTGGAGTCATTCCCTTTATGTCCTTCTGCAAATACAAATTAAAATGGCCAGCCTTTCCCTTTAATCTAGAGCATGTTAGAAGGAAGCTTCAGCAAATGCTGCTCCAGTTTCCAAACTGCTCTTTCGTTCGCATGAATTAATTATATTCAATAATGTTTCCTACTCATTTAATGTGGCAAGTATCTGATTTCCTTTCTCATTTGGGCAACGTCAAGCACCAACCTGGAAAATGGCAGATGATGCACTAAAAGATGGCTGGTCCCAGAGACAACTTGGTTTCGATTCCATCCCAACACGGTTTGGGATTCCTTGAATGCATTTTAACTCTTCTCAATGGATTGCAACATGCTATCCTAAGAAGTGGCAGAGCCTCAAAGAGGAAGACCCCAAGGAGCTCCAATGAGGCAGGGAGCCCCTATGTCATTCCCACTATTTTCAGTGTTTCGTGTATTAGTTCAAGAGTGTCAAACACGTGTCTTTCTCATACCTGTTCACTAGCCTGTTCAGGTTCATGCAGTGGAAATCCCTCATTATCTCAAGGAATTTGTCAGTATAAATTAAGACAGGGTAAGATTTTCAGGTTAGGCAAGGATGCCTGATGCATTATAAAAATGAGCAATGCAAGCAATAATCGTTTCGTACTACGAGCGTGCTATATGTGAACTTTACCACCATCTTCAGTGGGACCTAGAACTCTGCAAGCAACTTTACAATGAGAGGAAGCATAACATGCCACAGTGTGATTCGATGCATGGCCGTTTTGTCACTCCTCTCTCTCTCTCTCTCTCTCTCTCTCTCTCTCTCTCTCTCTCTCTCTGGTAAAAACGGCCTTTTCCTTCATTGCCTTCTGGCTGACTGTCTCCATGGTAATGATCACACTCCAGAACTCTTTTGAGAAAAGTGATTCATCCCAGAGGTATTTTTAAGAATCTGCACTCTCTATGCAGCTTAACTGCTGGTAGCGCATGAACCTAGTGCTGAGTCAATTACATAGAAACCCTTCTGAATGCTATAATTGTGCTATGTTATTTTGTTCTGTAAGTCTGAGTCATCCACTGGTTAAGCAGAACAGGGGAAGGAACAAAACAGTACTGTACCGTTGCTACAACAGGGAGTTTGATAAAGAGCTGAAGAACTCAGTCAATGACTTACATTTATCTCCACAAGATGAGCCCGGCTGGCTTCGCTTAGCAGTTGCAATGTTTTAGAGAAGGGCCCTAATTGACTACTGGTTTGCTCAGCATTGCTCTGTAACTAATATTCACATGGGTGGGAGGGAGCAAAAGGCTCTGTTTGGGGATCCTGCTGAGATGAGGGGAGATCTATTTCCAGTGCTGAGTCCTCTCCAAGACTCCAACCACTGAGGACTAGGTCCCAACTGCCTTCCTATCCCTGGCCCATCATCCCAGCAGCCCCAGCCAAGGTTCTATTCCTAGGTCACACCAGATGGTTACAGAAAGTTTGGAATCAGCTTATATTGGCAGATAGATTGAAAGTGTGGCCCAATCAGTCACCCAGGCTGAGCTGCTTCTCCTCTTGTAATTCAGGGGAGAGCAATGCATGATGACACAGGAGGAATAACCTGATGGAGCTCTTTTCTTTGGCTTGGCTGGTGACCATTTGTGCCCCAAATGCCCTGTTATGAGGAAACTTCTAGAGAAGGTTGCTGCTGCTGTGAGTGGCCACCAGTTCTTTTCTAAGAAAGCTGTCCAGAATGGGAAGAAAAAGATGGCAGTCATCAGTTCTGATATGTTTCCAGAACTGTAAACATATCAGTTCTGTATGTAGAAATCATGCACCTCAGATGCAGTTGAAATGCCTCCCCTGAGTTTTCCAGTAGGACACAACTTTGGTGTTTCCATTTCAGCCCAGTTCTTTCTTGGTGGGTGAGCCATGTTCCAACCTCCTGAGCTGAAGAAGTTCAGGGGTGTTTTGAATTCAATCAGAGCAGTGGCTCTGGGGAAACTACTGTTTACCATTTTGTCTTTGCCATTACTTTGATCTAAGCTATTCTGCTATTGCTCAACACAAAGGGAAGGTACCAGCACGGCATATCCCCGCCCCTGCCCCCTGCAATCAGGCCAGTACCTTCAGAGAGGAAGAGAGAATCCATAGGGAGGCAAGGAGCAAACCACACTGCCCAGAGCCACTTCTGCAATTAAATTCAAAGCTCAGTCCCATTCCAGTGTTTCAAAACACATATTAAAACACACACGCATGCACACACTGGGAGCTTGACTCATGGACCATGGTTTGGCCTTCAAGTTCTTTATAGAATGGAATAATTCTTCTTCATAGGGCAAGAATGTTCCCATACGGAGCCCAAGTTGTTTCGGCATCTGATATTCTAGCTCACAGTGTGGACGTGGTCGCACAACTGCATGCAAAAAGAATCCTTTGCTCAGTATTTGCAGTTCCTGCTGAAGGAATTCCGCAGTGCTCAATAGGCCCTCATCACCTGCCCCTCAGTCCACTCATTTGACCATGCAGTGTCATTTAGCCAGGATGCCTCCATCTGTATTTTACTGCATTAATTATATTTATTGGTTTGTAAGCCGCCCCAAGGCTTAGGCGAATGGGCGGCATATAAGTCTGCTAAATAAATTAAATAAATGCACGCATCAGGAAAAGCATGCATGGGGAATGGAAGCTCCATCCACAAATGCTCCTCTTGTCCTCTCCCAATCCTTGGCGCATGCTCCTTCACACTCTGAAGAAGGAGTCATGTTTACCGATGCGAGAGAGAGGGCTTGGTCTACCCATTTCCTGAAATGCTCCTT